CTCCGGTTTGGTTGGGTTTAACCAGAACAATCAACAGGATATGTTACACGAATCATGAAGCAACAGGTGGTGGGCTGAGATGAGGCCCGAATCTTGAAGCATAACCAAGTCCAGCGGACAATGGTACGCGCTAGAGAGAGTTATGTTTCCAATTTTGAAATCCACCTGAGAGAATCGACACACTAAGATAAGTTACACGAATTATAAAGCGAGTCCGGGAAAGATCCGAACGTTAAAGGAACTATTAAGCTCTCCCCAACGGCCCGAGCACTGTTTAATCTCTCCAACCATATCCCCTTTCGCTCTCTTCCTCCATTTCGATCTTTTCCTCCCCTCGTCGACCATCCCACGGAGGCCTCCGAGGCTGCTGTGATCAGACCCTCCTCCGACGATCGGCGATGGAGGAGTCTCCGCGATCTCGTCGACTCCAATCCCGAGAACCGGGAGGCCGAGATTCAGCCTTCCGCTTCCTCTCGCGTTTGGAATCGGATCTTCCCGAATTTCTGTTCTTTGTTTCTATAATCCAATCTTTTGAGCTAAGAGAAAGAGTAAAGTATCCCTTCCTTGTTGATTCTCTGCAGTGTAGGATGGAATCGGAGCGTCGAAAGAGGTTGAGGGAAGGTTCGCAGCTTCTGATAAGAGGGCTCGACTCCATCTCTTCCTGTTTGTCCCATCTTTCCAGCACTCTAACGACCACGCGGCAGGTAAATTATGAATATTGCGTTTCTGGGAGGAATCGTTCTTCAGATGGAAATTCTATCATTTTCCCGATCTTTTTTACGTTCTCTGGCGTTAAATTTCTTACAGAAGAATACTTGTATGCTATTTAACAATTGATACTCTTTAAAATATCTTACTGATTTGACATTCCGTTATATCTTTTTCTTCTGCTCCACTTGCAATCGGAGTTGATCCTCTCAACATGTACATCGAGTATTCCACCATTCAGCATCTTTCTCAACTCGAAAAGTCGTTACATTCCCTCTTCTTCCTCTTCTTGTGGAGTAGGTTTGTTGTTGATACATGAATAGTACTAGTATGTATTATCTTAGACTTTCATGATTCCTTAGTACAAGCGTAAGGAAAGAAAGGTAATACTATGTAATATTCTTTAAAATAACTCATTTTTTAGTCCTTTTGTTTCATGTAAGACCATTTAACTCCAATTTCATCATGGGTCATCTTAGTTTCTTCGTCAAATATTTTATAAGATAAAATATATGTGTCTCGAAACTTCTTTCGACTTTGACACCATGTAAAATAAGTCTGCTCTATGAGAATGAAAAACCCATGAAATGACATGGGTTTTATGTCTCTACAAGAATTTATGTCTTTGACCTCTGTTGAACAAAAGTTTTGTGTCTCTGCTTCATGTTTCATCTTCTATGTCGACTTCATTAATATCGTTTGGACATTTCATTAAGTTCTACCCAAGTTGCTCTACTTTTCGATTTACATTGAGTTGATAGTGGCTCTTGCGACCACCATTTCATAGGTTAGCCCTTTATTAAGTTTGATTTCTATATTGATTCTAAGTGTGTTTTCGTTTGGTGTTATCGTAGGTCGCTCCCCTACTTGATCTTATTATCGCATACAAGATTATGCGATAACTCTTCACTGCTCGCTTGATCTGTTGAGCTTTATGGAGTTATTATCTTGAGATACCCTTCCTTAACATATGCGAATCGTTGCACATGATTCTCCCTCTAGAATACCATAACTTATCTCTCCTGGATATATATTTCATTGGATTAACATTTCTCTTTGCATCCTCCCTTTGAATTTCAAATATCACCATCCCTTTATACTACTTTTGAAAAAACTATGCATTATTTCGCCCCTACAAATGCATTTACTATATCGTGACTCTTCACTAATACAACAAACCCCACCCCCCCTCCTCAACATATTGTCTTGAGATACCCCTCCTCAATATATGCAAATCATTGCATATGATTCTCCCTCTAAAGTACCAAACGTATCCCTCCTGGATATATATTACATTGGAGTAACATTTCTCGTTGTTTCCGAAAGTTTCAGATATCACCATCCCTTTATACTACTTCGTCTTGCTGAAAGAACTATGCATTATTCCGCCCCCACAATTACACTTACTATATCGTGACTCATCTCTAATATAGTAACCCCCACCCTTCCATTGCATTCCTCAAGGCTTAGTAATATGTTGAACTTGCTATACACTTTAACCTCCTATGGAGGTATCTTTCCCGTACCGAGGAGAAAGTTTTAATGTTCTATAATACTAAGTTTCGATCACGTTGGGATATCCACTGATAGTCTATCATTCACATACAAGCCTTTGTATGAGTACCGAATCCTTTGAGTTAATAATTCCTCTCACATTTGTAAGCTTTGCACAACTCATTTAATCATTGAGCAACCTATCGTATCTTTCAGGGTCTCATCCTTTGCCAAGCACTCCGCTTGTCGTAAGCATAATTAAGTTTGGTTATCAACGTTGAGTTGTAGCTCGAACTCAACCATCCTAATCTTTGTGTGCTATACGTTCTTCCCAGCTTACTTATCTTTGTGATGTCTCTCACGTGAAGGATTAACTATTTCTCTGAATACCAATCTTGGATATTTACTCATTTAAGTGATTGGCTATCCTCAATGTAGTCCTGCTAATTCTTTCATATTTACATGCTAGATATTTCTAAGCGTGTTTGTCCTACTCTGATATCATTTATCATGGACTTAACTGATTTTATCTAAGTCATGTGACACCATTATGCACCTGCATCTATTTGTAAATAGCCAATTTCTATCAAACTTCTTATACTCAAACTAAGTTGTGCTCATACGTAGTAGATATGTAGATTTCTTTGTATGATAAGAGATACTGTCCACTAGTTTACTGAATACATCATTTTATGATGCATGAGTGATCAAAACATGAGAGAGAGAGAGAGAGAACGGCAAAGGGAAGGGGTGGACGTCAACGGAGACGCGATCGGGGTAGTGCAGCAACGCCTGCTTGAGAGGAGGCCAGGAGTCTCTGCTGTCGGGGCACAAAGGGTCGAAGAAGGCCTCCACCACCACCGACTGGCCCCATACAGGAGCTCCGTTGCATGCGAACCCATCAATCTTGGCTGGGATTGGCACCTGTGCTTCAACCTTCACATCGGAGAACAAGGAGCCAAGAAGGAAGAGAAAGCACCCCCATTGTTCGAGCAGCAGCACCAACCTTCCCCATGTCTGTCTCCCTTTGCTCTACTTCGATCTCTTTGTTGGTGGTGGAAGGCAGAACACTCCTTTTATATATATATATATATATATATATATATATATATATATATATATATATATATATGTGGAGGAGAAAATTGAGAGCAAGGGAATGCTCAACAACCAGAAAAAGTCCATTTCTGACGTCCCTTTTTGATCCATTTCTTTAGGATAAGATATCGATGTTTGGATCTCTTCAACATATATATTTCGGTGAACTCAACAACTCTATTTGAGTTTGATTTTAAAGATAGATGTTGATGAGGACAGTAATTATGATAAGACTCGGCTGACGTCGACGCCTCACCCCTTAATCGACGTGACTGCACCCGGTCAAACGAACCGGAACATCGGTCGAGGCGTATTAACGTCTACTTAGGCTCGGTTCTTCACGCCACGCCAATGCCCATGTCATACGCTACTAGCCTGCCTCCTGCAGCGGGCACATCAAACAATAACAAGCCTCCCTATAAATACCCTCTCGTTCATCAAAGAGAGGGGGGAGAGAGACAGACACACAAAAACAATTCTTCATCTGAAACCCCCTCCACATCCTCTAACTTGATCGTCGGAGGGGTCGGGTCGAGCATCCCAGCCCGACTTTTGTGCAGGTGCGAAGCCGAAGGTCCCCGCCGAACGCGCAGGCGAGGAAGTTCTTGCTCGGAGGAGACGGCTACACCGTCCCGATCGGACACCGCACCCGACCACCTCAGCGGGCTCGAGGGACGCCCCGGAGAGATCCTCGCCGTCCGGACCCGAACCGAGCCGCGTCGACCCCGAGGCCACGGCTCCAGGTTGTTTACACCAACAAATATTAACACACATGATCTGAGTTGTATTATTTTTTCGCTAAAAAAAAAAAATAAATTTACACCCTTCCAGTATTCAACAAAGTTCATCTGAGAGGAGCAGAAATGTATGTTCTTTGTACTATACCAAAAACCAATAGCTTGTGGATCTTCGAAATCACATATTCCAAAGTTGAGGCTGAGACGCTTTGGAGCTCATGGATCATTAAAAGCCAGTGGAGGAAAAACAAAACAACATGTAAATGTCACTTGTGTTTTCTAATTTAAAAAGCACTTCAACCGAAAATACAGTGGTGATACGTCCGTCCAAAGTGACGGGTTTGTTATTCTAAGCCTAATTATACGATATTATTAGTATCATAATTTTTTACTTAAAAAATTTATATTAAGATTCTTATAGTTCTAAAAATAAAATAAATAATTATATTTATCCTAATATCATTAGTTTTATTGATAAAAAATATAACACGATACAAAAATGATGAATAAAAAGATAATTTTAATATCTCTTTCAGTTTTAATAATTTTATTGATAAAAAAATAATTTTAATAAAATAAAAAATATTAAAATTATTATTTTTTAATATTTTTATATCGATGTTATATGTGATATCGTGCTATATTTTTATTGTAGTTGATAATACTATAACAAATGAGATTATTTATTTAATTTTTAATACTATAAGAATCATAATATAATTTTTTTTAAATATAAAGATCGTAATGTTAATATGACAATATGTAATTAGCGACGATTCGTATAGGATGTGGTGGAGCTTTTGAAAACAAAGAACAAAAACAAACAGGGGTTTTGTTTTTAACACCATCTAAGCGTTGCCCTTTTAGAAACAAAGAAACAAAAACAAAAACACGCGAGAGGGCCCACAAATTAATGATCTCTTGTTCTCTAAAGATTAACAATAGAAACTACTGACTGAGAAAGAGGGTGCGAGAAGACGAGAGAATGGCAGCCGCTCTTTCTCTCAATGGTCCTGTCCTCTGCGGCAACCCATCGCCGAAGGGACCCGTGGCCGCGCGCCGGGCCGCGCGGCGGTGGCGGCGCAGCCGGTGGTGGGGGCCGGTGACCCTACCTCATCGGAGCTGCCCGGATCGCCGGCCGCCATCGGCTGGTTCGAGACCCGACGACTCTTCGGCCCCGTACGAGATGACGGTCGAGAGAGCGCTCAAGCTCCTCGGCGTGTCGGAAGGCGCCTCCTTCGACGACATCCTCCGCGCCAAGAACGCCGTTCTCACGTTGTGCAAGGACGACATGGAAGCCGCCGCTCAGGTTGGGTGCTCTCTCGTGCAAGGACGACATGGAATTTGATATCGGTGACAATTTAATGCAGAGGATAATGTGACGAGAAATTATTTATGTTCAAGGAAGAGGGTAGATTTGGTCATGGCAAAACATTTTGCTTGTTAGGGTGGATTGGAGGCATAAATGGATTCCATTAGTCTCTCGATCGGTGGTAGATGACAATTTAGACAATTCCTTGCATTTATAGTTTTCCTATTAGCTTCTAGTTGTGGGTATGATCTACTTCATTGATTTACATGTTTCTTTGTAGGGTTTAAAAGGCTTAAGTGACGAGAAATTATTCATGTTCAAGGAAGAGGGTAGATTTGGTCATGGCGAAACAATTTGCTTGTTAGGGTGGATTAGACCCGTAAATGGATTCCATTAGTCTCTTGGTCTGTGGTAGATGACAATTTAGACAATTCCTTGCATTTATAGTTTTCCTATTAGCTTCTAGTTGTGGGTATGATCTACTTCATTGATTTACATGTTTCTTTGTAGGGTTTAAAAGGCTTAAGTGACGAGAAATGATTTATGTTCAAGGAAGAGGGTAGATTTGGTCATGGCGAAACATTTGCTTGTTAGGGTGGATTAGACCCGTAAATGGATTCCATTAGTCTCTTGGTCTGTGGTAGATGACAATTTAGACAATTCCTTGCATTTATAGTTTTCCTATTAGCTCCTAGTTGTGGGTATGACCGACTTCATTGATTTATATGATTGGTTTTTTTCATCTGCATGTCATTGATCCAATGGAGAACCTTAAGAGTACTTTTACCTTAATTCCATAACAGAAGCTTAATCCTACAGAACGACAGTTGCACTTTAAGGTTTCATTGCAAATGATCCTGCACTTTTGTTCCTATGCCAATTGGTTTTCTCCTGAAGTCATGTTATTTACTATGTTTCAGGTGGAAGCTGCATATGACATGTTGCTTATGCAGAGGTTGTCACAACGAAGAGCTGGCAAAGTTGCAAATGGTAACATCAGATACGCCGATATTAGAGCTAAAAGAAGTACAGGAACAAGTGCTTTGCCAGAGTGGCTTCAGAAGACAGTCAAGAACATTCCTGTCTCTGTTGAATCTCCATCTACCAACAGTTTGGGCATACAGGCAGGTGTTTATGGGGCTTTGATGGTCCTCACATTTGTTAGTGGCTCCTCTCCTGCTTCAGCAGGGCCATATACCGGAGCTGATGTTCCTGGGCTAATATTAGCTACAAGTTTTGGAGCTTCCTTGTACTTTTTGTCAAAGAAGAGAATCAACCTTGGTAAGTAGCTGCTATATTCTGATTTTCCTATTTTATTTTAGTTAAGTGTTATGTTACATGTTTCTTACTAAGAAGAACAGACAGACATGGGACACGAATATGACACAATATGGACATGGCAACACGCTAATTTTTTTTTTCAATAGGAGATAGACATGACAAGGGCACATGTATTTTTTAATATATATGTGTATATAATATTCAATTAACATAAGTTTTATAGTATTTATATTTAAATTTTATAAACTCAACAATGTGAACAAATAAATATCATTATCATATAAGTTAAAACAATTAAAATTATCTAAATTTACATATCCAAAATAAAAATTGAGTACGTCAAATAATATTTAACAATATTTAGATATAATTGATATATGTTTCCTTGTGACAGACAATCTCCATATATTTTTTTTCTTACGTGTGAGGGCCATGCGAGCGCAAAGCCGCACGCGAGTGTCCAACACATGTCGGACACGTCCACCAAAAGGACGTGTTCGTGCTTCTTAGGTTTCCAATGCAAAGAAACCATCTGGATAATGTTGCTTAAGATTTATGAGGATTATAGGAGTAAAGCCTTGAAGTGTAAGTGTCTCAAAGCTAGTAGAATGAAAGTGTGCATTATTGTTATCATATTTAGGAATAGGAGCTTAGGTATAATGGACAAAGACACAAAGGGCTTTGTTTATCTATATAAGACCTGTCACACAAGATATTGGAGAGAATATCTTGACACATACATAATGATAAGGGAGATGGATGGTCATCTTAAATTCTTCATGAGTGGCAGGCTGTAGATGCTCCTAGCAACAGAATAATAAACTATTACAGCCAGAAGGTCCACTGTTGAATGAGGGCCCTAAGAAACAAGATGAATGTTACAGAAATGAGGATATGATGATGGATATTTGGTGATTTTAAGATGAAAGTCTGATAATCTATGAAGCTAACGAAATTTAGCTTATTTAGGAAAGTGATGAATTGCCTTGGAAAGGCAAGGAGGGTAAATTGGGATAACTGTAAAAGGATTAAAATGATTTTGATTGATTTGGAAAGTACATGTTTTCAATTGAATCATGACAGTTATGGTTTTGCAGCCAACTAAATATTCTGTATGTGCCATTCATTATAGAATGGTTCTAGATCAATAGTAGAACAAAGAACTCGCCATCTAGCAAAATTTGGTTACATTTAGTTTACTCCGGTGAATATAAAGCAGACTGCATTAGCAAACCTTCAAGGTACACTAATACCATGTAATAGGTGGATGCTTAGGATGTCAACCTTTTATCCATGGTGATTTTCCTCTCTGTTAGATAGGTTGCCAATGCATTTGAAAATTTAAATCATGCTGGTCTTATGTTTATTGTTCGCCAGCATATTTCTTTTTTCCATTTCTAAATGCAAAGTAACTTGTAATAATGTATTACCTACCGAACCTCGTAGAAGGCTTTGGTTATCCAGGTGATGCCACTGATTATGTCGTTATATGCCTTTGTCAGCTTCTCAGGGCAATTTTAAAGCTGCTGCATCTTCTGAATCTAGAAATGAGGTTTATGAAATTTGTGTTGCAGGAAAAGCAGCGGTAATCACTATCGGGGGCCTTGTGGTGGGCGCGGTAATAGGATCAGCAGTGGAACAATGGTTGCAGGTCGATATAGTTCCTTTCTACGGCATTCATTCACCAGCTGTGATTGTGACCGAATTCATTCTCTTCTCACAGTTGTTGGTATCTCTGTATCTAAGGTAGGTGCAAAAGATGCTTCTGTGCTTTGTGATATATGAATTTATGAATCAACGATCAAATGGCACTTGATAATTCAATCTGCCTTGCACAATTTTGCTGAGTTTTTATTCTCCTTTTTATTTTATTTTTTTTATTCATGAAAAATGATTATTATACATCAATGATGATTATTGAAGATATTCAAAAAAGAATTTGAGTGGTTGTATCATATAAAAGACTTGTTTTGCATAAGAGATTGTACTTAACCAAGTTTATGGTGATTTAAATTAGTCATATATTGATATAATTTTAGTTAATATAATTAAGGATCCATAACTACTAGACTCATGTGGAAATAGAAATAACATCGTAAAATCATTTTCAAAGAATTTTTTAGACTTTCGAAGCTTGCCTTAAAAGCTTTTGATTCTATATGTGATTTGTTTTTGGGTATTAATGTTGCTCATCTATTGGGTTAGTATTTTGTTGCATTGATGATGATTATAACTATTGATGATGGTATTAAATCATTTTTAATTACATATGTTGTAATGGAAATTTAAAGTAAAAAATTTATTGGAGTGGTTTTTTGAATCAGTTGAGAATATGTATTGTTGTCTATCAAAATTTAACCATTACTAGTGATCGTAATCTAAGGAATTTTTTTTTAATTGACTATGGAGATGTTTAAATTGTAATTGATGTTAATACCTCTTAATAATGAAATCAAATATACCTTTGATTAAGATATGCAATACTGTATCGTGTTTCAAGGTTGGCTCGGTACGGTACGGTACCGTGTATCGCTCGGTACACCAGGACGTATCGAGCGATACATTAGGGGGTATCGAGTGATTTTAAATATTTCTTCTTCTTACTATAGCACTGTAGCAGTGGTACCGTCTTATAGCGGGTGGTCCGCGTAACCGTATACACTGATACATACCGAACGGTACTATTCGAAATTACATATCATGTTTTTGATAATATATATTTATCTATTTCAAACCAGCAATCCATTATCATAATTAGCGTTCGTTAAGTTGAATATTTTAGATAGCATATGGGTGGGTACATTATCAAAATATGTAGTAGCACAAAAACCATTTCCAACCTTTATAAGCATAGTGGAAGTTCATGTCCTGTCCCACAAATCACCCTTTGTAGGAATTATTATCTAATTCCTTCTACTAAGAAAGAAGTCTTAACTCAAAAAGTGACACATAGTAACACCACTAATGGCATGAGAACTTCTAATTACTGTGGTATTCTTGAACTTGAGGATCTTAAGGTACCATTAATAAGTTTTTTTTCTTCTTTTAATTGAGAATGTAAATTATGATTAATTCTTCCACCTTTAATATCTATAGTCAATTCACTCCATCGTGATGCTTTTATCTACTTGTCTGAGACTACTTACTATCAAGTCTCCTAAAAACCTTATAAATCTACGAGTTATCTGCTTCAGGAATCCAATCTTTCTTCCTGACAAGATCGATCTTACCATCAAACCCAGAAGAGGCGATCACTGTCCAAAATGAACTAATATATCTCGTAAAATGAGTAGAGACACAAATCACAATCCACAAGGATGTGTGACAACAAAACGTAAGTAACAATACGCAGAAGAACCGTGGAGTATCGATATACTACTACTACTGATACATCTCACTCGAGTCTAGGAATTTACAGAGGGAAAGGAACCTAGATATCCCTTCTGCAAAGCGGACATGATCCATGCCTGATGAGCCAAGCATCGATGCACGGCAAATGGAACATGTGGTGACAATGGGGTAATCTCCTCACTGTTTCTCCAACTTGCAAGTCCTGAAACCAAATTGTCAATGATCATTCAACCCATTGGCCGGATTGCAACAAGTTGCATCGACGGGAAACACTACTAACCTGTAGGCACACCGAGCAGCAGAGACTCTCCCCTGCAGCTTCAAGATTCTCGGCGGTGATGTTGGTCTTTGGGAGATTCTCCACCGTATCCATCGCCAGTCCTCCGGTACTATCGGTCGCAAAAAGATCGAAATTATCTATGGAAGGTAGATCGGCAGCACTCATCTGCACTCGAGCAACATCGAAGAACGAGATTAGTATCCATCGACATGGTCAGCTTCTGGATCGCTGCAGCTCGGTGAGGAGCAGGTACCTGACTCTGTACTGCGCTCTGCATCGCTGGGTCGACCTTTTCCCGGACAATTCTTCCGCTCAAGAGGCTACAGAGTATGTCGATCTGCATAAGACCCGGTCCGGTCAGTTGACGTGATGATTCGATGGTTCTACGACAAACCTCTCCGTAAAAGAACTCGAGACGAGACTCACCACATAGAGAAGGCTCCAAATTCCGGACTCCCTGGAGTTCCACAGATCGAGAGATGATTCGACAGCTTCGATAGCGAAAACCGCCCCGGAGATAGCTCCGATTCCAGCTCCTCGCAGTAAGCCGCTCTCGGTGGCTAGGCCGATGAGAGCTCCTGTGATCGCCCCTACCAGCGAACCAACTGCACACGCCACGAAGCCGAATTAAAAGATCTAAGACTTGGTATGAGTAGATCATGCGATGTTGAGGTTGAGCATACGAAGAAGCGTAGGAAAAGAAACACCAACCTGCTGCAAAGACACAGGTGAGGGTGGCACAGATGACCCTTTCGATTATTTTAGAGGCCGTGCCCCGGTTGCTTCTGCTCTGACTCCCTCGCCTGGCAGAGGAAGAAGGAGACGAAGAAGAGAAGGAAGAAGATCGAAAGGATGAAGAAGGAGACCGAGAGAAGACATCCATGGCGTCCCGTTGCAGAGCAGCTCCCGAGGGATCTTGTGATATAGTGGTGGTGATAGGGAGGGGATGCTTAACGACTAAGAGAAAGAAGAGGAGGGGAAGGAGAGGAAGGGAGGAGGAAAAAGGCGAGTCGAGCAATTAATGTTGTGACGTGTTCGTCGTTGACTGTGTCGACCGTCCCGTTGCCTGCCGCTGTGCGAGTCGTAGTCGTCGTTTCTCAGACGTACCGAGTTGGTCAAACCACGCTTCCGAGTTGGACTTTCATCACAGTTTTTGAATGAATCAAGGAATGCAACGCGATCCTAAATTTTACTATTACAATTAAATTTTGACATCGAATTCGATTATTGGGCTCGGATGGGCCTCAAAGCCCGACAAACTGCGGCCCGAGCCCTTTTCTACAGCGAGGTAGGTGGCATAAGGGCATTAGGGGAATTACAACTTGTGGATCATAAAGGGATTTCTGATGACCATATGTGCAGTAACTTGAGAGATAACTTAGATACCATACGTGCTTTATATCTAGCAATTAATTCATCTTAGTTTTGTTTACTCTAAAAGATTTACTGACATCCAAATATTTTGTATAGGGTTGGATGGTACAAGAATTCATATGATACTATAAAGTAAAGCATCATATTTATCACAGATGACTTTATATCAATGAGAGGATTTTTGAGCTTAGATGTTATTTATGAGTTCTATAGGCTCAAGTAAATAACTAGTGGTGGTATGGATATCAAGATTGTAACATGATTTTTATATATTATTTTTGGAGCATATTATTTAAGCTCGGTGGGATGATTAGATTGTATTGATAATATGTGAGTTTGTGATAAATTAGTGATATATACTTGATTAGGTTGATACAGGATGGTGTCTCTTGACTATGGAGAATACAAGGGCATCACTTATGGTACGAAGGATGTAGCTGCAATTGATGATGCAGAGTGGTTTAGTGAATATGTGAATGGGAGAGTTATATAGTAGCAATAGGATGAAGTATAGTGATGTTGAACATGAATAATATTATAATAGAGATCTAAAGGAGAATTATTAGTTGAGCTAGGGCACATAGAAGTATCATGAATCAGTCTTAAGGAAGTTTGTTGTACACCCATATGCACCCAATGATGGATAGATATGGTGGTGACTCTCATCTCGAAAGAAAAAAATTAGATTTAACAAATATAACATGGTGTGACACAGATCTTGTGAGTTAAATGATCAAAACATCAAAAGAAATTATGTTCAAGAGAGTATCTAATGAAAATATACGGTTTAAATTTTAGTTCTAACTTGTATAAGTATATGGTTGAAGCTAGGGATATCATAAATAATCAAATACTTTTAATTTGTGAAGCTTGTGAGGTTTCTAAAATAATTATTTAAATTATAACTAAAGTTATAGGTTTAAGGTGGGTATATAATTGATGAGATAGATAGTCATTTGAATGGGTGTTGATCAAAAAATAAAATGGCATATAGGCTTGGTGAAAGAGGGTGATGCTAGTTTTAACTAGGTGTAAGTATTTTTTTTTTTTTTTGTGGAACCAACAAGCTAGAGTGTGTATGGTGGTGACTTAAGGTGTTATATATTATTGATTGAGAGGTAATTTGTTAAGACTTGATATTTACATCCTTTATAAGAATAGATTGATTTAATGGTGGACTAAAAGAAGTTTTTTACAATCTTTCTAAAATAAGTAAAAATTTAAAAAAATTTATATTTATATTTGAGAGGACATATCTAATTGTAATTAGTAAAATAATATATACAAATAACATAAAATTTAAAAATATCAAAGGAAATAATTCATAAAAATAACATAAATAATTAGTGGAGGTAAGCTTTACTTACAAATAATATTGGATATCTAGTAAGTCCTTGGATTATTAGATCTTTTGGGTAAGACCCAATAAGATTAAATAGAGATTATTGAATATAGATCTATTAATCTAAGAGGCTTGGGTAATTAGAGAGAGGTCTAGTACCCAATAGGACAAGATCTATTAGGTTTAAGTGTCAAAACCTGTATAAATAAGAGGGGCCAAAAGGTGGCATAGGCTAGTCTCCTCTTAGCTACCCTTCCTATTATCCTCTCTCTCCTCTCCTCTTTAGCCGACAACCCTAGTTTAGAGTATGTGGATAACAAAAAAGGCTAGCCTCTTCTTGATCACGGTACAACCTTATGGTGTGTATGGAGAGAAAGATTGTACAATGACTATGAAACTAGTTACCTTCATCATATGGATGAATATATAGTACACCAGTTTATCTAGCTATCTCGATATTTTTCTCGAGTAACCTATGACTAGGAATATTTATGATTTGTATTTATAGGCGAATTTATTTTATTATCATGATTTTATCATGATCCAATTTCCATTACATAGATCCAAGAACATCATATGCAATAAACAACATAAAGTGAAATATATCAATAATAATAATAAGCAAAAAAACTGTGAAACATATCACATATGTCATTGAATGACTTGTATAGTACTTATGACTAACAATAAGGACTCAGCGTGGATACGTGATATTATTAGTAGATTATAAATCTTCTTTCATTTCTTTTTAATCCATATTAGTTCTTCTTGTAGATCAACATCTTTTAGCTTTCGTATCCGATGCACTTGTAGATAAGATAAAGACTTTCTCGACAATGTATTTGTAGATCAAATAAAGATTTTCTGAATGACATTAAAAAAGTACACGTAAATTTAATCAATCATTATTTAATTTGATATTAAATTTTTTTGTATAATAATAATATAATCATAATTTTTATGCTTATACAATAAAAATAATAAAAAAAATTAAAAATATATAAAATTACTAAAATCAAAACTACGAAATGATATGATTTCAAGAGAATAAAATTATTTTACTTAATTGAGTAGAACTTGGCCAGCCTTAAGACTCGAAGTCCACCACTTAATGAACGTGTAGTAAAGCCGGTCGTCCTCGATGTGTTCTTGCAGGAGCTAAAATTCGTCATTATTGATAAATAACACTATTGTTGCAAGATCACAATAAGAGAGGGATTATCTCACAATAAAAAGTGATTCAAAACAATTGATACATACTCTTCCCAACCACAACAACATTCCAAAGTTTTCTTTTGCAGAGACAATACATCTCCTGGCAACCCGTTTAAACGTTTCATGAGGTAATCTAATATCTGTTTTCTCAACCAAAAAAAAAAAAATCCAAATAAAAATGTTTGGCTTCTGCCTCTTTCATATTTTGGATGTAAAACATACGTATAGAATTGGGGAGTCAGAGAGTCATCTTATCCGTCTGCATCATGATGTGATCTAATGTGTGTTTTCTCACAAAAAAAAAACAAAAACAAAACAAATCCAAACAACGTTTGGCTTCTGCTTCTTCTATATTTTGGATTATGCATGGAGTATTAAATCACTTGGGCTTTGCCCAACATCAACCAAAACACAGATGGCATAAGAAGTATGAGGATGAGACTCGCTCTTTTGTGCTGTGAGAAGCTCCTCCATTCCTTTCTGGGTTGGACTTTTAATGCATCCATGTATATATATTATTATATTAAATGACAACAAGCCACCATGATCACCTAATCCAACATTATATATACACACACATATATAAATCTAACTGATCCCCAATGATTATAAAATGTACTTTTACGTTTCGATCCTTTCATTATAATTGCCCTTCCAAATTTTAATGTATATGTACACATATCCCTCCAATTTTAGTGGATATTACATTAATGAGAATTATTGATTCCATACATTTCTTTCGATTTGAGAGGAATCTGAAACTGGTCAAACACTGTCCTTGTTTCCTGAAGATAGTTTCAGGGTCTGTGGATGGCCGAAACAAACATGATGGTCATGTTTTCTAAGGCTCGCGACAAGGTTTTGTATCGGAGAAGAAGAACCTTCATTCTCCGCTTGGAAATTTCCTGGAAAAAGGGCATCGAGAGATTGACTCTTAACAACACGAGACGACTCACGACAGGGAAGACCGGGAATTGCTTGTGGTCCGTGGAACAAAGCTAAGTCCGATCTGAACAGAGATCGACTGTTGGGAGTTACGTCATATTAATCCGGTAAGATCGTTTGGTTACCTCAACTCCCTAACGGTGATGTTGTTGGTGAACAAATGTACCGTGGCTAGTGAGTCAATACGGTTAGGTCCATGGGTCGATGTCGGAAGTTCTCCATTGGCTGAGCTGGACGTCGAGATAGGTCAGGCCTTCGCGACAGGGTGTTGGTCAACGTTTTTTGGTCCGAGCGTCGTCTACATCGAGCTGCGTCTCTCCGTTCCCGGGATAGGTGATAGCTCGCCCTCCTTCACCGGGTGACGATTTCCGGATCGAGGCACTCGTGGCTCGGGATGATCGCTTTCCTGCAAAAAAGGTCTTCGTCGGGTGATTCTCAACTTTGGCCCCTCCGACGAGCAAGTCAGTTGTCTCTCTTTTGTTTTTTCCCCTTGTTGGGAGTTAGGATAGAGGTCTTTCTACTATCGTGAAAGAGTCAGTCGTACGTGGATTGGCATGGTGGACACAGCACGACACCAGTACGGATTCTGACTCAGCATGCGGGGTGTTACCGTTCCGGGATTACCGGGACCAAGTGTGTCGAACAGTGTTTTCGGGGTACGAGTTCTGACGTGGCGTGTGGCTTTAGCTATGACGTGTCCCAGGGGTAAAACATGTCCTATCAGACGTGATATTTGATTTTTTTTTTTTTTTTATGTCTCGTACTCATGATGATAATATGTTAATATTTATTAGAATATTGAAATGATCGACTTGAGAGGGTTTACAGACGCAAATATATAAGAGGCCGTAAGAAGAAGAAGAAGAGCAAACGTCGCGTAATTGCCTCTTCCGACTGTCGTTCTCCCGGAGGGGGACCCACTGATTCGATCAACCGCGAGCTTCCAAACAGCGAACAGCATCGTGACTTGGGCCCCGCCACAGATTTCACATGAGGAGACACCGACTTGCACCCATGTTCTCACCATGCTCCGTGGGTGGCGAAACCGAGCGGGTCCCGCAGGAGCCCGAGAATAACGCCCCCTCACGACTCCCCAGAACCCTCG